TCTGTTATTCAAATCAATGACGCAATTTAAGTCTTTCAAAATATTATTTCCTATTAATCCATCGAAATTTTTGTTAAAAGTATATTCTAAAAACTCACAGAAATAATTGTTGAAATTGAATTGTTTAAATATCGGAAATGAACAAAGTTTTGTTATCAATATTTTTGTACCTAAAGCGTTTGCTATTACATATATCAATCTTGGATGACAAATATCAGGGTTAATTATACTGAACTCTGCGCCAGTATCGATTATGAATTTTAGTTTTTTTATGGGGATATTAATTATTGGAATTTCCAATTTCCATTGGTACCACTTGTTGATTAGAACTGTTCAAACTTTTATTACGATTTATTAAATTAGACTGTCTAGTTTGATACAGATTATTATTTGGAGTATATTTTTTAATTTGATCGCCTTGTTTGTCCTGTGAATCTTGAGCTACCAGGGTTATTATCATATTAATGATCCAAATTATCAGTGGGAAATCGTTGGTTTTGGCGTAAAGGTGTATAATTGSCATAAGTTAAATTTCTGTTATGGATTCTATTTGCAAGTTTRTTAATTTGAAAATAATAATTTTCTATAGTTCCTTGTAGTCTACAGGTTTTAAGATTGTCCATTAGATCATTACTACTAAATTTTTCACCGAAGTATGTCTTTTAAAATGTCTTAAGTTGTTGCGTTAGTGTATCTATGAATTGCTTCTCTGGATTTGCCAACGCATTTGTTTTTAACATATCCAAAAAGTATAAATCGCTTAGTATTGTCAAATTCCGAAATTGATGGTATGATGTTTTCAATTTGACTTATAAAATCTGGCCGTTGATTCTGATCATTGCCATCAAAGCTTTCAATATTTTTAATACAACTTAAAATAAGGTTAAATTTGCTCACTTCTACGGCGTCCATTATTAAAAGTGTTATTGTTTTAAAATAATAACGTAAATAAAAGGTTATGTACTATTATTAAAAGTAAATATAAGAATAAGCAATAAATATATATAAGTATGTAGATAAATGGCCAGCACAGTGATAACATACATATGTACTCAGTAGGTTAGCACAAAACGTTCATATGTAATTTTTGGCGTACAATTACCTATGTACGTTTCTTCTTGTTGTTTTGTGTTATAACTGCTAAGCTTGTTGCTCTCGTTGCAATTTGATTGTCGACTCTACTATTTGTACCGGTGTACTTATTGTTATTATTGAAATTGTTGTTTCTTCTGATGTTCTTTGAATTTACTTCTCGCTCTCGTTAGTTGCGTTGTTATAAGTGCTGTGTTATTAAATTCGATGTCCYTTGTGGAGGTCACGATTGCATTTTTATTTGAGAGAATCCGTAATTTGTTGTTGGTATTATTTAATTGCTTGTGTATTTATGTATTCCAAATATATGTAAGTATTTTTTGTTTTATAAATCGGTATGCTTTAACTTTCGAAGAGTTTCCGATTGTTTTTGCACTTTAGCTTTCTCTAACCTTCTTAGAGGTCGCAATTGTTATTGTATTTCAGAGGAATCACTGAATTTTTTTGTTTTTATATTAAACTAGTCTCTAACCTTCGTAGAGGTCGAAATTGTTTTTGCACTTCTGAGTTTTTGTTTTYGTAAGAACTAACTCTCTAACCTTCGTAGAGGTCGCAATTGAATTTTCACTAAGAAAAATCACTAATATAAACTCAGTTATTTTTAACTGATTTGTTACACAGTTTTAAACACCTTATTCAAGTTCATTGACCTGATTAAAGGCCTTATTACAAACGCACTTTTCACAAATTTCACCAAATTTATAATTTGATACTCTTCTTCTTCTTG